TACACGACGCTCTTCCGATCTCCCCAAAACCCCAAAACCCCTTAGTTAAACAATTTGATTAAATAATATAGAATGTGTAAGTAAAGATAAAGGTAGATATTTAATAGCATGCAAATCTAAATTATAGAAAAAAGTTAACTCAACTATATTAATAAACATAGATGCGAGGATATATCGTAATATTAATTTTATAAGATTTAAATGAGAACAATCTCCCTAGCCGTTCTCGGCATGCTACTCACCTCCTCAGTGTAATCTACCAATATTGGTTACAAGCAACTAGGTCAATTCTCTCACCCTTCACCAGCTTTCGTCAAAGTTGCTAAGTTCCCAGGACAAAAGGACTCTCTCCTCATCTCAGAGTTCTCCGTCTTCGGAAAGGGTAAAGTTGCTGTCATTTCTGACATTGGTGACAAGATCCAGAGTGGAAATTTCGCTGACATTCATTCATCAGTTCTCTCAGATAAATTCACATGGCCAAACAACGTGGATGTCGTCCCAGCTGAAGTATTCGGCTAAGACGTGAATGCTGTTGTTGTTCCTGATGGATTCCTCGTACCTTTCCACAGCAACGGAGAGATCTATGTTATCACAACTAACACAAGCAACGTTGAGCAAGCTGAGCAAGTTTACCAACTAACTACTTAGAAATCAGGCTATTTCTATCACACTGGAAAGTGGGTAGATTTGAATGGGGATGGCAGACTCGATTTTGTCACTGCTAGATCAAATGCCAAAGCCAACCAAGGAGAACTCATCTGGCTCGAGCATCCAGAGCAAGGTCTCCAACAGACCCCATGGACTGAGCACTTGATCACTTCAGGTCCAGATGTTATTTTCGAGCTTCACGAGCTACCTTAATACCCAAATTCTTACATCATCTTCTCAGCTGAGTTCTTTTCACACAAACTCCAAGTCTATTAAATTAGCAAAAATGGAGGTGAAGTAATCAACAAGGCCCTCATTGATGGTACTCTTGATCAAGTCTACTCTGTGCAGCTTCTTGACATTAACAATGATGGTAAACAAGAACTTCTTGTAAACAATCATGAGACTGACAGTTCAAAGGCTGGAGTATTTGTATTCAACGTACCCCAAGATTTATTCAATAGCAATTTCACAAGAAAGACAATTGCCACTGGATTCAAGAATGCCTTCTCATTCACTGTACCAAATATGTGCCCAGGCTTCCCATACGCTGTTTACCCATAAACCAATAATAAGCATGGCAGACCTCACATTTTGATTGCTGGAGATGGAGACTACTCAGCTCACCTTCTCACACCAACAACTGATGATACCATGTATCAAATGAGTCTCATTAAGAATCTCGGAGGTACTGTTGGTTCTATTACCTTTGGCGACTCTAACAACAATGGATGGTTAGAGTTTTACGTCCCCAATTACGACAAGGGTTACATTGAGGTCTACGAATTTTATGAAATCACTGAGTCATCTGGTTTCCTCACTGAATGAGGTTCTCCTTAGACTGAAACAGTTGATATTCCTCTCTTTACTTCTTAATCTTTATCCAATGATTTTAATTCACAAATTTCATCATTTTTCTTTCCCCAATCTCTTAAATGATTCCACAATGTGGGGTTTTGGGGTTTTGGGGTTTTGGGGTTTTGGGGTTTTGGGG